CATAATCGATGTCAGTATATCCAAGCAACTGTACTTCCTCCCCATGATTCCTTTTGTACCAAATTCCATGATTCAATGTTCCTTTGAGATACCTCAATACTCTCTTAGCTGCTAGTAGATGCTGTTTTGTTGGAGAATCCATGTACCTGCTGAGCAAGCAAATCGAGAACATGATGTCAGGCCTTGTTGCCGTTGCATAGAGCAAACTCCCAATCAACCTTTTGTATTCTGTCGAATTTACAGGAACTCCATCTCCAGCTCTTGTCATCTTAACTCCTGGTGTAATTGGGTTGTGAACAAAATTGCTTTGCTGCAGTCTGAACTTGTCCAACACTTCTCTGATGTATTTTGGCTGAGTGATAAAAATTGCAGCATCAGATTGAACCACTTCAACCCCCAGAAAGTACCTCATCTTACCCAAATCAGTCATCTCAAATTCTGCTTGCATAGATGCCTTAAACTCTTCAAGCATTTCATCATTGTTGCTGGCATACATTAGGTCATCACCATACAGGCTTACAATGAGAATTGAACCAGAATTACCTCTCTTTATGAACAAAGTATGTTTATACTGACATTTTTCAAACCCAGCTGCAATGAAGTAGGCTTCAATCCTACTATACCAAGCCCTAGGGGCTTGCTTGAGTCCATATAGAGCTTTATGAAGCCTGTATACCTTCTTTTCCTCCCCAGCAACCACAAAACCTTGTGGTTGCTCTACATATATTTCTTCAGAAGGCTCTCCATGAAGAAAAGTGCTTTTGACATCCATTTGATACACAGTTAGACCATGATGTGCAGCAAGGGCTAGCAGAGTTCTGATGGTGTCCCAACGAGCAATAGGGGAAAAAACTTCAGTGTAATCAATCCCCCCCATCTGTGCATATCCCTTGACCACCACCCTGGCTTTGAATTTGTCCAATTCTCCATTTTCTTTAAGCTTGGTTATGTAAACCCACCTTAATCCAATAGCCTCAAATCCTTCAGGCAGCTCAGTAAGAGTCCAAGTTTGGTTCTTTTCAGTTGATTTCATTTCAACTTTCATGGCCTCATTCCATCTAGGATCCAAGCAGGCTTCTTCATAAGACTGAGGATCATCAGTGGTGGCTACCATGAGCATCCAATATGTGAAGGTAAAGCTGCAGTCATAATCCTGCAGATGTGTTGGTGGTTTGCTGACCCTTTTGTTAAGACCAGTGCTGGGCAGTCCCAGAATATCAGTAGTAGGTTCTTCATCAGATTCTTCATTCTCCTGGTCTGCTTGTGAGGAACCAGCCATTGCAGGAGTTCTAGGACTTGGTGTTGAATTTGCCTCAACAACTGGATCTACTAAATCTTCAGGAACATCCTTAGAGTCTGAATCCCACCAATCTTCATCACTGCCTTCCCAAACCAGTTGTGTCAGCACTGGTGGAGTAGTAGAATCCCAGCTCCAACCCTTAGATTCGTCAAATACCACATCTCTACTGATGACTACTCTTCTGGTGATAGGATTGTACAACTTATAAGCTTTGGATTCCAATGAAATGCCTAAGAAGTGACATTTTTCACTCTTATCATCCAGTTTCCTTCGTTGTTGATCAGGTATATGCACATAAGCAACACAACCGAAAACTTTGAAATGAGAAACTGATGGTTTTCTGCCAGTCCAAAGCTCTTGAGGTGTTTTACCTAGATTGGCTGTTGTTGGACTTCTGTTCAGCACATAAACAGTGCAATCAACTACCTCTGGCCAGAACTCAGATGGAACCTTCATGTCTTCTAACAAGCACCTAACCATATTCATAACTGTCATGTTTCTTCTTTCAGCAACCCCATTCTGTTGAGGTGTGAAAGCAGCAGTGAGCTGCCTTCTTAAACCAAGTTCATCACACAGCTCTTTGAGTTCATTTAGCATGAACTCACCCCCACGATCAGTTCTGAGACACTTGATCTCCAGGCCAGCATCCTTTACAACCAGAGCTTTATATTTCTTAAAGCAATCCAAAGTTTCTGATTTGGCAGCCATAAAATGAACCCACATTTTCCTACTGAAGTCATCAATAAGGGTAAATATGTACCTCTTTCCTCCATTTGAAGCTGGAGAAATTGGACCACATAAGTCTGCATGGATCAGCTGGAGCTTATGTGTTGCTCTCCACTGACTTTTCTTTGGAAAAGGCTTTCTGTGCTGCTTCCCAATCTGACAAGTACTACAGACTCCAATAGTTCCTTGTAACTTAGGCAGGTCCAATAAATGTTCTTTCTTTGACAACTGATCCAGACTAGAACTGTTGATATGCCTAAATCGACGATGCCACAGCTGGAAAGACTGATTTGGTGCAGCAATAGTTTGGAGACAATGCATGTTTTGGTGTGCTGCTTTGCATTCAGCATGAATGGCAAACATTCGATTGGATTTCATCTCAGTTTGAAGAAGTAGTCCTGTTTCATTGTGGAAAATCTTGAAGTAGCCATCTTTGATTAAGAAAGCTAGACCTTTTTCTTGCCACTGGCCCATGCTTAACAAATTTGTTTTGAGTCCTGGTACAAAGAAAACACCTTGAACTAGGATACTCTTTTGATTTATCAGCATTCTGACATCTCCTTTTCCTGCCACTTCAAGCCTGGAATCATTTCCCAACCTCACAGTACATGCACAGATGGTATCAATGGTTGTAAACCACCTCTTATCACCACTCATGTGGTTACTACATCCAGAATCAAGGAACCAAAAATCCTCTCCCTTGTTCTGCTTGCAATGATCAGCAGCTACCATCAAGCTTTGTGTGTCATTCTCCATCTCAACTGAGGTTTTGAATTCAACACAAGCCATTAGCAGCATATCATCTGTAAAATCACCAGATGATCTATCTTGAATAGGACCAGAACTAGTGAAATGTGCCTACTGGTTTGAGTAATGGTGACTTGAGTACCATTTTGGGCACTCACTTCTGTAGTAACCCAACTTATGGCACTTGAAGCACTCAACTGCTTCCCTGTTCCAGCCCCTGCCTGCTCTTCTTCTACCCCTTCCTTGGTAGTTTCCTCTCCCAGGACCTCGTCCTCCCCTTCCTCCAAAATCATGTGAGATCCTAAGAGCCTGTTCTCCCTCAACAAAAGACTGCTTACCATGTTTTTGAAACTTTTGTTCATGAACTAAGAGTGAACTCTGAAGAACATCAACAGTAAGGAAATCTATGTCTTTTGACTCCTCAATAGAACACACCACATAATTAAATTGAGCAGTGAGAGTTCTCAGAATTTTCTCAACAATCTTGCCATCAGTAATAGGTTCTCCACAATTTCTCATGCTGTTAGCTATCACCATTGCTCTAGAGAAATAATCAGTAATAGGCTCACCCTCTTTCATTTCCAGCAGCTCAAAATTCCTTCTCAGGACTTGCAATTGAGCCTTCTGTACTCTTGCTCCTCCTTGATACTTCACACGCATAGAATCCCAAAGTTCCTTTGCAGTAGCCTTGTTGGTGATAGTCTTTAAGATGGTCCTGTCAATAGAACTATACAGATAGTTCTTGGCCTTCAAATCCTTCAGCCTCCGTTCCGCCAAGTTCTTCTGCTGGACAGGAGAAAGTGTTTCTCTAGCAGCAGGTTCCTTGAAGCCTTCGCTGACAACATGCCAGTATTCCTTAGATCTGAGCAAGTTCTCCATCAGCAAAGTCCAATGCTCATAATCCCCATCAAACTTGGGGACAGGGCTGGCTATTTGGACCGGGACCGGATGAAAAATCGAAAACCGAACCGTATAACCCGGACCGAGACCAGACCGGGACCGGATAGTAAACAATCCAATCCAATCTTTGGGCTTAGATTTGAGGTAAAAACCGGATAAAGACCGGATAAGAGAGCTCAACACCCAAAACTTAAGGGTAATTTGCATAAACGGTCACAAACCTTTGCACTTAGTACAAAACTTAACCAACTCCTCACCCTTTTAGGCCTTAGGCCACTCAAATTCCCACAATCTCAATATAAAATCAAGACCGAATTGGGACCGGACCAGGTCAAGACCGGACCGGATCAAGACAGGACTTATCCAATCCAATCTTCGATCCTTATATTTTCAAAAAAACCGGACTGGACCGGATCAATTTGGGCCAATTTAACCGGATCGGACCGTATAGCCACCCTTACTTGGGGATGCACACCTGTGCAAAGCTGCCATTTTCTCCCATTTCTGCAGCAGAAACCTCACCGACTCTCAAACAGAGAGTATTCACTCACCCTTTGCAGAAAAACACCTCACAAATAAACTCTCGTGTTTCCCTTTACCCAGAAACAACAATCGATTTTACACAATAACTCTCAAACCCTTTCCTGTCAATACTGGTTACAGCTTGCTTTTGAGGCTCTGATACCACTATGAAGACTCAAAAATATTACAAACTGACAATTCTCATTAGAATGACGAATTGAGAATAAAAGGAACTTGTTTCAGCCACAAAACATGGCCTCCACGACTCACACTACAACTATACAGGTCCTGGAAATCAGCACCAGTAACCCAACATCCCTGAAACACTCGACAACTACTAACAAACTCCAGGACCTGACTGACACAAATAAACAACTAAGGACTGAACTAGAAAATAACCAAACGACATAGTTTTGTTTGTTGAGACACAAGATGAAAAGGATTCCCAGCTTCATTTCCTGCTCCAGCTTTGCTTCCAACAAAAATATCAACATACCTTGCTTGTGGAATACTTCCCGTTATACATATTCTACACTAGCATCCACCAAAGGAAAAACAAAAACAGATTTCTCCAATGTCGCCAAAACCTATATATGCTCCCAGAATAGCAAAGCCCGCCTGGTTTATTAATTAAATATAAACCAAGCAAACAAGGAGAAGTTGATTAATATATATCGGCCGATATAGAATATACCAGAAAACCCACGTTATAAATAGAAGCCCCCAGTAACTACTCCCACCCAAAGCATACAGAGACTAACATTATTATTCATCGATCGAGCTGGTCGAGATTCATAATTAATTAATGGCGACGAAATGCGTGTTGTCGTCGCCTTTTCAAGCTGTTCATTATTTCTTCTTCTGCATGGTGGTTTTGCTGCTTCTTCAATGTTGTTCTTCGACTGTGATTCGTAATACTACTTTCCGGCCGCCGGCGGTGTATGTATTTGGCGACTCGTTGTTCGATGTGGGGACGAACAATTACGTGAAGTTTGCGGACGTGCAGGTAAAGGCCAACTTCCCCTTTTACGGGATTGATTTCCCGCAGTCTTTGCCTACCGGCAGATTCAGCAACGGTTTCAATCTTGCCGACCAAATTGGTACGTCCATCATTCTCATCTATATATGGGTTACCTATGAATGACGTATATGACTTTAATAAAAACAGATCGAGCAAGTTTCAAGTTACGGTTTAGTTTAGTCAGTGGGACGTACTATCGCTACTTCCCAACTTACAAAATAGCTATTAAGTTTCCCACTTCTAAAACTATTTGATTTTTTTCGGTTTATAGAATGCAAGTTTATATAATTCTCCATTTAGCAGTTAAATCCCTTGAAGAAATCGAGCATGAGCCAAAAGCTAAGACCTTTCAACCTCTTGTAAACTTGTTGTCGTTCAACGTTGTTTTCAATATTAATTCAATACTACATGAATACGCGCGACAACCGGTTAATTTAAATTCATTCACGTCAATACAATTAGAAAATTAATTACATATATAACTTTCTTACCACATACACAGTTTTTACAATCCAACTCAACACAACAGTACTAGATGTTGGAAATAAAAACTTTTATTTCCTAATTATGGTGGGTACTTAATTATTTGGGAATTGAACTTTGGTGGAAACACGTTGGCACAAGGAGGCTTTTTGGGATTTTATTGTTTGAAAATATGAAATTCAATTGGGAGATAATTTTGGAGGTGTGTAGGCGGCAGAGAGTTTGAGAATGGAGCTTCTTTTATTTATTGGCTTCTTTCTTTCTTTTTCTCTGTCCAATACACGGACACAACCAGCCCTGTATATAGGCTCCCCAAATACAGAAAATCTATACCCTCGTTAACATGGGCAGTTGGAACCGCCTCTGATTTGTGGCTACCATTTTTTTTTATTTTGTTTAATCCTAACAATGAAGCCACATTTTTCTACTAACTTCCACACATACAAACTTCCTCTCAAAACCATACACGTAGATATGATTCTAGGCTGTTCTGATATTTTTCAACTTAATTATTATAATTAAATTTTATTTTATTTCAACACTAGAGACCGTAGTAATTACAATGTAATGAAACTACTTGTGAATTTCTATTTCTTGGGGACAGTTAAGAAGATGGGATTCCGCAGAAGCCCGCCGCCATTCCTCTCCCTCGTCGCCGGCGGGAAGTGCTCCCCCAAATTCAACCAAACTATAACCAAAGGCGTCAACTTCGCTTCAGCAGGCTCTGGCATTTTCGCCTCAACCGGCTCGAAATTCATAGTAATTAATACACTTTTCAACTATTAATTATATGTATTTTGAAAGATAAATATATGCTCGAAATACAAAATATATAAATTCCTCTCTACGTGCAGGTGGTGCCGCTGAAAACCCAGATCCAGCAATTCTCGACTGTCGCCAAGAACCTGACGTGCCTCCTGGGCCGAACACACGCCGCCGCTCACCTCGCCCAGTCCGTGTTTCTGTTTAGTGTTGGCAGCAATGACATCTTCGACTACGAAAAGAATGTCACCGGCGGCAACCAGCAGTTCAACGTCTCCGCCAAGGCTTTCCTCACCTCTATGATATCAGAATACGGGCTCCATCTTCAGGTAATCAATATTCAATTGGGATATTCCACTTCCCAAACAACAGAACGCTTGCTCGTTTTTGCGCCAATAATTGATTTGAATTCAATGGCAGGATCTGTATATAAGTGGAGCTCGGAAGTTCGGGATAGTGGGGGTTCCAGCAGTAGGGTGCTGCCCCTTTCTGCGCTCTTTCAACTTCACCGGTGGCTGCATCGTCGGAGCCAATTCGCTGGCCCAAGCTTTCATGGAAGGCCTTACCGTTGCGGCCCAGCAAATCGGTGCCGTAGCTCCGGATGTCAAGTATTCTCTCGCGAATGCTTTCAGCCTCTCCTCCGATTTCATCCAAAACACAACTACTCTCAAACTTCACGGTACATAATTAACCGAGCGGCGCACCCGCCCCTCCTTTCATTAGCTTCTTCAAGAATATATATTTTCAGCTTGCTCTAATTTCTTCCCCGACGACTCTCCGTGGCAGGTTTCAAGGACGTGACTGGTTCGTGCTGCGGAAATGCAACGGTGCCTTGCAGCCCAAACTCTACGGTTTGTGGTAACCGCGGTGATAATTTGTTTTGGGACGGCTTCCATCCCACTCAGTTCGTTGCAAAATTGTCGGCCGACGCATTCTTCGGCAACGACCCAAGATATGTTTCTCCCGTCGGTTTTGGTCATCTCCTCCAGAACTGAGCCCGCCGCCGTTTCGACGACATAAAATAAGGAACCAGCACGAAGGAACAGTTTTCAATACATTGCCAAATAAATTCAGTCGCTCATTGGTTTTGTTTTCTAAAATTCATCACTGGGACATTTTTTATATGCGCTTTTCCTTTTGCTTCGCAAGACTTCTCTGCTCGTGTGCTTTCGTAGAAATAATTACCAGATGATAGTATTAAGTAAGAACTATATAAATTTCACCAGATGGTGGAAAGCTTGAATCCACAAGATATATAAAAGCCAAAACATCACTCAAATTTCCAGCAGTTTGAAATTCCTGTGCGTAGAGGGTTTCTCGGAAGTGTGTTTCAGACATTTCCCCCAAATAAGTTGTAACTTTAGTTAGTCTTTGTCCTCAAAACCAGAATCGCATTGTGAGAGGTAGGGCGGGCATCTTGATACCTATACGCTTTTCATATCAGGTCGGTCAATTTATTATGGGTGTGAGTAAGGGTAGGTCAACCCATATAATCAGGATTTCGTCTAACGTGGGTTCACTTAGAAAAAAAAACACATGAACAATAATTTTAGTTAACTTTTTAATAATACATTAATAATCTTATATTTGGAAATTTGTGGTATATTAAAATATATTATTAGTCTTAAACTATAACAAATGTCACTCATTATGTACCAAACAAGTATTTGCGATTTAGTTAATCGTTATCTTTCAAATGGTGTCCTTTGTCAAGAACCATTTAGTATCACTAACTCGAGTTGTTAAGAGAGTTTCAATGATGAATCTTATGCCAAATAATTAATTCATAATTTAGTTAGTCATTCGCTTTCAAATGGTGTTTATAGTCAAGAACCAATTAATATCAATAACTCGAGTTGTTGGAAATGTTCAGTAATATATATCTTATACCATTTGCTAACACACCCATAAGAAAGCCAACTTATCTGGAATTGAAGTTTGACAAATGTAAACACCATGTACTCAACCAATGAGATCGCCAAAATTCGAACACAAGATCTCTCGATCAACTATTTTCTATTAGACACGTACTAATTTTCAGTATCAATTAACTATTGTACCTAAAGGGTGGATCCATTGCACTCTCCCTCCACCCCTGCCCATATGTTTATGTAATTCAAAAGAAGTTAGAAATATTAATTCTCCATTAAAAATCAAGAATCAAACTACAATATGATAAATATAATTAGATTATTTGAAAAATTGAGACTCACCTATATATGATAAAGATATGAGAAAATAAAATTAAAATCCTAAGTAATTTGAGTATAATTACATGTAATTTATACAAAATGGGTCGAAAGTGAGGCGACCAGATGGTTCAGGTCAAGAAAAGTACGTCCCCCCTACGTAACGAACAAACAGATCATATAAAACGGGTTAGGTCGAAATTGTCATTTCTCTTTTGTCTTCCTTTTTCATTCGAATTGTCTAGATTGAAATTGTATACAATAGATTTGATGATTATATTCATGTGACACGTGATGGACTTTGAAGTATTTGTATTGGAGCTGACACACACTTATACTCATTTTCTTACCTAGATGCCATTTTGTTTTTGGGTTTACATTTGACTTTATGTTTAAATTGATCATGTGTGGTGTTCCTAAAAATAATTGGATTTGACTCTAGTCAATGTTCAAGAAGACGCTAGGCGCAATCTAGGCGAGGAAGCACTGCCCAGCGCCCAGGCCGATTAGTTGTTGCCTAGGCGAGATTAAACATTGAAAATAAAATATGATAGATAAGCCATATTCCATAAAAACCCAAGTCACCATATCATTATTCATCCATTCATATATACATATAGTCGTTTTCCACAATCTCAAACATCTCAAGTAGCCAACCATGAGGAGGGATCCCGCTGCTGGTCGATGAGGAGGAGCGACTGGTCTAATGGAATGTGAAATAAAATAGTGTTTGGGATTCCACAAAAAGGCTACACTTCACCCCTTTATTAGTTGTTCTGGGCGTCGCCCGCCAGAGTGAAAACGCGCCTCCGAGCGCCTAGGCGCCGATTAGACATTTTTCATGGAGATTAATCGTTTAGCATGCCTAGATCAATCGCCCAGGGCTAGACGGGGCGATTTCCTCCTGCCCAGCTATTAATCGCGTCTAGGCGAGAGATTAATCGCGTATGAACATTAACTCTAGTTGAGAAAGCTTCACCCAGGTGTTGCTCCCCCCAGCAAACAATTACGACTTGACCACTCGAACGACCGTGTGTGGTTAGGGGGTCATAACCGCAGGGAAGTCTAACAAGTAGCCAAAGCAACCCTCTTAGACTCTAGGTTGAGGAATTGGATACGATCCAAGCCACTAATGTGACCCTCTCAACCTATCGACTAAGGAATGGTTAGACTTCACCCTAGAATTGGAGTTCGGACGACCACCCACAACCAAACCCTAAGTGCTTAATACAAAATAGGAGGTTTGCCCGTTAACTAACCTAGAATAGGAGGCATAGAATGCTCAAGGAAACCCATCTCTAATAGAGTCTCTTAAGTTAAGTAGGGTTCTCTCTAAACTAGCTTAGGAGGCATTGAATGCCCAAGGAAACCCAGCTCTAATGGAGCCTCTTTGGAAACAAAGGAGGTTTCCTCTCTAAACTAGCCTAGGAGGCATGTAATGCCCAAGAACACCCATCTCCAATGGAGCCTCTTAGGCTAAGGAGGTCTCCTCTCTAAGCTAGGTTAGAATGACAATTAGATTGATAGGCTTTCACACAACACAATCATTTCTGAATAATACCTCCACATTCACATTAAAACACAACCACACACAAATCATTCACTTCATACTAGTATTTACATAATTGTAGCTAGGGTTTACAAACACCCAAGTGAAAGAAGGGACTACTCCATGCTAGGAGAACGTAAAACACAAAAGAGGGAAAGGAAAACCATCATGAAGATGCAATCCTTGCTCCTTGTGCTGGAGAAACCCAAATTCTTGCTTGGAAATGAAACCCTAGCTTTTCCTCTTCTTTGGTTCGTCACTTTCTCACTCTAAAATTTGACGAAGGAGAAGTTTTTCTCACATTAGGTCTCCCTCTCTCTTTCCTTCTTCCTTTCAACTCCTTTTAATTGAGATCGTGCCCAGTTCACGACCGTGAACATTGAAACGCGTCAGTGAACTCAGTGTTGAGACCAAAATGCATCGCTCTACTGGCTCGGGTTCAAGGTTTGTGGTCTATGTTCACGGTCTCAGCGACCGGGAACAGCCTAGCCGTTAGTAACATGAAAACCGTCTCTGGTCGCTCCTTGTTTCACGAGTTCTGGCTCCAGTTCACGGCCTTATAAGACCGTGAACTCCAACATCTGGCTGTGAACATTGGCTGTTTCCTCCTCTTTGCCCTGTCTTTGCTCCTTTTCTTCCAACTTTCGATTCCGGGTTTGGTTTTACCTGTTAGGATCTGAAACACACTGAAACATAAGAAACCTTGCGTGAAACCAACCTTTTTGGATTTCAATTGCAACAAACGTCAAAGAGAATCATGGATATATATAAAGTGTACAATTAGGCCCGAATCACTCCCCCACACTTAGACGTTGCTTGTCTCCAAGCAAACCATTTCACACAAGGTAATCTCTTAACCTATAAAAATGCTTTGGGGACAAATCAAAGGGCACAAAGTGGCGAATCTCAATGCCTATTGGCGATTAACACATGGACTTTTGCAAGCAATACCGACAAAGTGGCGAATCTCAATGCCTATGTGCAAACGTAAAGTTCTCACCTTGTTCATGAATAAATGCAAGTCTCAACAAGATCACTTATCAACCACAACTAACCATGCATAACATTGAAGGGAAAGGAACAAAAGAATGGGCAACAAATTTCCTCATCGGGGTGTGCTATGACATACAAAGCAAGAACGAATCACTCACTCTGTTGACCAGTGGGGTCGCGAACTTTTTGGTGCAAAGAATGTGCATAGTCATCACTACTCTGCCCTGTTGGACTTGGCCCACTTGTTTTTTCCAGCTTCAACCCACAATCATCACGTGGTGTTCAGCCCATTGTAACAAGCTTCCAAGTTTGATTAATCGTCGTGCACCTTAGCTGCCATTTCTCTCCAAAAGCAGAAAAAGAAGGAACTTTGGGTGTTCCAAAAACACTCCATCTGCACTTTTCCATAGCACGAAGTCTGCTGCCTTTCATTCTCCCAGATCCTTTTTGCACTCTTCAATGAAGACTTCATCATCACCAACTGCAGTTCCCCTCAACGGTCATCTTCAGTTAGTCTATTTAAAGAACCCATATGCTTCTGTGAAAATCAATGGATTGCACTAGGAAAGCTAGAAGCTTTGGGTTGCAAAGGGTTCCTCCCTATGGGAGATGTCAGTCAGATAGGCTACAGGGGATTGGGTTTAATCTGGGTAATTATCTGTGGGATTATCTCTTGGGAGTGTTTGAATCTTATTCTCATTCTTCCTTCCTTTCTACAGAGATGGGTTTCTGGGTAGATAGGAGTGGGAAGATTGATTTTAGTTCCCCAATGTTTCAGTTCTTCTAAACTTGTTTTTCTTTTCATTCGCCTCTTTCCTTTGGTTGTTTTTGTTAAAGGCAGTCATAAAACTGCAGAATGACCATGTTTAAGTTATCAATTCCAGAAGTATTTCTTTCGATTTACTTCTTCAATTCTCAAATTGAAAAGCTCTAAATAGTTTAAACTCAGCCTAGAATCTCAATAATTGGTATCAGAGCCGGTTCCTTGTTTTTGGATTAACGTCCTGAAGGTATCATGGCTGGGTCTTCGTCAACCACTGGGTATTCTGCAATGGTGAAGCAAGCTTCGGACATCAGGTAATCTCTGTCTCTAAGTATGCTGCAATATCTCTTCATTGTCAAAAGTCTTATATAGCACAGATAATTGCATGCTGTTTGATGTGGATTCATGAGGATATCAATTTTTATAAAGACTACATTATGCTCGTTAGTTATTTAATTATTTGATATGTTGAAAATTGCATGTGTGTTTATCTCATGGGATTAATCATCATGAACCATATTTGGATTTCTTCTGCATACTTTAAAGATCCAATTTCTTTTAAGAAACCATTTCTGGTATCCATTTTAAAATGAAGTTTAAACCCCCACTGGTGGAGTCATCTCTCTTATGTGTAGACTCTTTAAAAAGAAGGATCTTTGTTGTAAGAT